GGAAGAGTACATTTTCCTCAAGCTCTCCTCCTTTTCATTACCCATGATTTCTTAAGAAGTCATTTGCAAAAGAACCCCTGAAGGAAAGCATTTGGGTTTGGGTTTTATTTATGACCTCAGACCAGTCTATCCTATCTTTCCTAATGATGGCGCTGAAGTTCGGCCTCTGGGTTTGAACCCTGGCACTATCTTGAGCATCACAGGCTTACCTCTTGTCAGCTGTGAGACCTTGAACTTACTGCCTACTGTCTCTTTGCCTGTTTACTCAACCATAAAACTGAGGTTATCATGATATAGCTGTTTGAGGATTATTATTATCTCATAAACATGAAGCACTAAGACCAGTAAAGACTCTAGAAATGCTAGAAAAGAATGGAGAGAGGAATGTCAATAATGGCAGATGGATTAAGTGAGCTGTGGCCTGTTGGTCCAACCCATCCTGCTACATTTTTTTGATCTTTTTTTTTGTATGTGTACTTTTTTATTGTAAACATGCTGTACAGAGGGGTTACAGTTACATGAGCAAGGTAATGAGTACATTTCCAATTGAGCATTGTTGCCTCCTTCTTTGTTTTCCGCCTACCATCCCTTCCCTCCCACCTCCACAACTACATCCCCTCCCAAAGTTGTAAAGTTCATTTTCTACATAGTGTTTTGTACAGATCATTGTTACAATGGGTCAACCTGTATCTTTATTTAAGGATTTTGTTTTTTCCCTTCCCCTCCCTGAATTAGAGAAGTGTATATACAAGATGCAGGGCACCAGAATCAAATACAGTGAAAACAGGGATTGTACTGTGGGGGAGGAACATACAAAGAAACAAAAAAAGCTCACATGGTACATTATAAATACGTGAGAAACAATAGCAAGAAAGAAAAAAGATATCTGTGTCCCTATTTTGGGGTTCATTTCGCTTAACATCATCTTATCTGGTCATATGTACATAGCTTTCGGCCTTTTCTGCTTATCCTACACATATACTAGTTATTGCAAATAAGGGAAATCATGACATCTATGTTTCTTTGGGCCTGGCTTATTTCACTTAATATGATTTTTCCAAGTCTTTCCATTTCCTTACAAATGGGGCAATGTCATTCTGATGGTCCCTCACTCTTCTTGATTCTCCCCTCCTTCTCTTCTTCATTTGTTTACAGCTTTCCCCTTGACCCCAACCCACCCCTTTCAAGTACCCTGTTCCTGGTGTTTATTTTGTTGAACTTTGACTTTGCCTTTCTAATTTTTTTTGGTTGATGGTGGGACTTGAACCCTGGACCTGGGTGGTGTCCCTCAGCTCTTCAGCTCAAGGTGAGCACTCTACCACTTGAGCCACAACGCCACTTCCCTGACTTTGGCTTTCTACTTCTTTTTTTAATTTTCCAATGTTTATTTTTGTATTTATGAACTACCCAGTATTGTGTTGAAACAACCTAAACATCACCACATCAAATAAAGAACAATCTATGCAAGGAAAAATGTTTTCTCTTGATAAAGACTCACCATACTTACTCCATACACAAATCAATTATCATTGAGATGGAAAAGAGAGGCAAAAATAACTTGACTAATACTCAAGTTACATTTAAGGTTTTCCCACAATCAAACTGTAATTTTTTTCAAAATGTAATATTTTGTCCAGAATATTAATTTACTACATACCTCAAGAGATTCATTAGGGCACTCAAACAAATAGATTCTCAAAGTGACAAGTTTAGGAAAATCCATCACCCTAAGGCATTTTTTCCCTTTAGCTTTCTTTTCTTTTTTTTTTTGTATTTTTTTATTGTAAAAATGCTGTACAGAGGGGTTACAGTTACATGAGCAAGGTAATGAGTACATTTCTTATCAAGCATTGTTGCCTCCTCCTTTGTTTTCCCCTTCCCTCCCTACCTCTACAACTACCCCCCCACCACCGAAGTTGTAAAGTTCGTTTTCAACATAGTGTTCTGTGCATCTTTTGCTACATTTTTACACAGCCTCTTAGCTGAAAAAGTCTGACATATTAAGGTGTTTGAAATAAATCACAGGAAAATTATATTGTGTTATGCACTGTTTTTCTGGAACAAGTTCATTTGTTTCGCAGTTTGATTACTTGCCATGGAAACTATATGGCTTGCAAAGCCTAAAATCTTTATTAATGATTTAATGTAGAAGTTTGGTGACTTTTACAATGTCCAAATAAATCCAGGTTAAAAAAGATAAAATGAAAAGCGTTAACTGGAATTAAGAGGCTTTGATTTCCAGAGGCTTTGATGATGGCTTTTTTGGAATGGTGAAAGTAGAAGCTAGATTTTGATGCCAGGAGGATGAAAGTTTGTCATTATTGTCTTTGTCATTGTTGTCTCCTTCCTTCTTTCCTTCCTAATTCTTCCTTCCTTTCTTTCTTTCTTCCTTCCTTTCTTCCCTCTTCCTCCTCTTTTTTTCTCTTCCTCCTTCTATTTTTTGTGCTGATACCAGGGCCTGGGTTCTGTCCCTTAGCTTTTTCACTCAAAGCTAGTGTTTTACCACCTAAGTAATGGTTCCATTTTCAGCATCTTTTTTGTCAGTTATGGGCCTTGAACTCTGGGCCTGGGCACTGTCCCTCAGCTCTTCAGCTCAAGGCTTGCGCTCTACCACTTGAACCTCAGCGCCACTTCTGGTTTTTGGAGTGGTTTATTGGATATAAGAAGCTCATAGCCTTCCCTGCCCAGGCTGGCTTTGAACTGTGATCCCCAGATCTCAACCCCTTGAGTAACTAGAATTACAAGCGTGAGCTACCATGCGCAGCTCAGCATTGTGTGTGTGTGTGTGTGTGTGTGTGTGTGTAGTTAATTGGAAATAAGTCTCACAGACCTTCCCTCTCAAGCAGGCCTTGAACTGTGATCCTCAGATCTCAGCCTTCTGAGTAGCTAGGTATGAGTCAGCTATCTTCTCATTCTATAACATGATAGTTGTGTAGTGTTGGGAAATCATTTACATTCTATAAACCCAAGTTTCCTCACTTTGTAAGTTAGGACTTAACACAGCTACTTTCTTAAGGTATTATAAGGATTAGCAATACTGTATATAAATCACACCTGACACTCAGTATGGTAAATGCAAGCTGTTGTTTCATTTGATCTGCTGCCATTGAATTCACTATTCCTTTAACAGGAATATCTTGTTGTAATGTTTTGTTTCTATTTTCCAAGCTCTGATGTTTTATATCACATTTTACTTTTGCTCAACTCTTACATCTTCAATGAGATCTTCTCATTTAGTATTGGTTATTCTATTTAATATGGTGGTCTGTTCCCTCTCCCAATATTCCTACCCCCACCTCATCCTGCTCTACTTTTCTTTTTCTTATAGCATTTAGCATCTCTGACAATCTGGAGAATTTGATAATTTATTATGTTCTTTACTAAGAAGAAAGCTCCATAAAATAAGTCTCCTTACTTGTTTAATATAATTGTACATTCCAAAGATCTTAATAGTAGTCTGCAATTAATATTGATTTTAATTGAATTTTTTATTTGTGACAATAGCTTCTGTGCTTTGAAAGTCTAGTTCTCCACCCTTTCTTTCTCTTTGTCCCTTTCATTATTTCCTATATTTATTTCATGGTTTCTTTCCTTTAATTCTTTGAGTATTTAAAATATTCCTATATTAAGATATCTTTCAGATTTCTCTATTTCTAGTTCCTTGTGTTGTGAAACATCTTATTTGATGCAGCTCATTTTCTTTTTGTACAATGTATAGCTTTTGATACAAATTGTGCATGATTGTTAGACATTTGCTTCAACTGAGGCTTTTAGAACCAGCGGTTAAGAAGGCTCCAAAAACTGTGTCACTGAATGGCATGTTTGTGGTAGTTAGGCTGGGAGGCAGTGTAGTGTGGGTATGAAGGAATATGTCCTAAGATCGTGTCCCCACAGTGAAACTACTTGTGGAATGTTGGGCAAATTATTCTTGCCATCTTAATTATCCTGTCTGTGAAATAGAAATAATAATTGTGAAAGGTTGAGAAAAATGAGTGGGAGGATCAATATAAGAAAATTTGTTAGCATAATGTTTTCCATGTAGTGAAAGCTTCCTAAATAGCAAAATGATCACAAATATCCATTATTGTATTTGTGATCAGATCTGTTTGCTACTTCTAACACATATTAGCTTGGCTTTCAGCCATTGCTGAGGAGCACTGCTGAAAAGAGTTAAGAAAATTTCAGGTATTATCGGTTCCTCCTCCTCCTCCTCCTCCCTCTCCCCCTCCTCCTCCTCCTCCTCCTCCTCTTCCTCCTTCTTTTAAAATTTAATTAGAGAGTTGGATCATTTGCCAACTATTTTGAATCATTAAAATAGCAGTCGGCGAGTTCTTCTGTGGAGAGGAACATGACCCAGAAAAATGTCTTTGGTATTTTTTTTAACCAAAATACATTTAACTTCTTGGCTATGCTTCTCTTGGTCAACATTCCCACATGAATGTTAGAAACAGAAAAAGGTGCTTGAACCTGTAGCCCATGCTCAGTACATAGTCTTAGTTCATTACTGGGAAAAGATAGAGATACAGACATGTTCTTAGGCAAGAATATCTTATTTCTATTTCAAGTATCCCTCATTTTCAGGGTGCACTGGGGCTTGAACTCAGGGCCTTGTTGGGTTGGCATTCTATCATTTGAGCTGTATCTTCATCCCTGATGTTGGTTATTTTGGAGACGGAGTCTAGTAATTTTTTTTGGGGGGGGTCTGTCTTTCAGATCTAGCCTTTTCAGTAGCTAAGATTACAAACCTGGGCCACTGGGACCTAGCTTATCACAAGTACCTTTTGACCACAAACCTTTCCTTTATTAGCTGATGTTTTGGATCTGTGGATAAGGGAAGGCTAAAGAGTGAAAGAAAATTGTAGGCCACTATTACTTACCATGAAAGGTGTTATTAGTTGTTTGTAAAGATTTCACAAAGTGGATATTTCTCATTGTTATACATCTACAAAGGCTAAAATTCAAAACATTCAAAAGGAGAACTATATTTAGAAGACAGTTACCTGATCTTCATAATCAGATCCTGCATCAATGATCTCTCCAGCATCCAATACCATCGAAGGATCAAGGTCAGCTGAACCTAAGTTTAGGAAAGATAATATTAAATTGAAAGAGACTGTTTCTAAAGCAAGCAACTTCTTGTTAGTTGACCTATTGTACCATTATGATAAACATATACTCTTCTCATTTTCTGGTACTGTGTCTGGACTGGAGACTGAAGATGCAGACACTTGGACTGTTTTCCCCACCCCCAAGGAAACCTCACCCCTGGAAGAGACCAATTTGTCATTAAGACTCAGAATCCCTTCTGCATGGCAAAGGACATAGCTAGCAAGATCAATAGAAAGCCTATGGATTGGGAGAAAATCTTCACGAGCCATACAACGGACAAGGGTCTCATATCTAAAATATACTTGGAACTCAAAAAATTAAATCCCCCAATAACAAATCCTTGAAGAAACAACTGCCCAATAAATAAGTGGGCTAAAGACTTAAAGAGAAACTTCTCTGAAGAAGAAAGAAGGATGACCAATAGACACATGAAGAAATGTTCAACATCCCTAGCCATAAAAGAAATGCAAATCAAAACAACATTGAGATACCACCTCACCCCAGTTAGAATGGCTA